GATTTGGATCACTTGTTGTTCCTTTGTCCCTAGGATTTGTTAACACCACTACCTTTTCCCCCTCTCCCATGTCCCCCCGGAACTATCCAGATTGTTTATCCAGCCTATCTTATTTAGATAGACCAGCGGAGATAATAACATACACAAAAAAATAAGACAGAGCAAAACCAAGCAACGAAAGAAAACAAAACAACAACAGCAAAAAGCCAATGACAAAAACAACAACAACAAAGAAAAGCTTGTAGTTCATTCAAGTACTGTTTGTTGGCCATTAGGAGTGTTTTCAGGTCAAATCTGATGGGGTGCCAAACCCTGGCTCTAAAGTCTATTTTTGGTATTCCCTGGGGACTTCGTTGCTCTGTTCCCCTTGCTCTTCTGTTGCACGCCCTTAGTGATTTGCCTCGGTGTGGTAGGATCAGATCAGGTGGAATTCCCACACTGTATCTCCAGTGTTGTCCCCTGTAGGGCTACGGGTCAGTGAGGGATGTTGTGTCTCATAGTGGGGCTGGCCATATGGTCTTCTCTGTGGATTGGCTGCTCTGAGCAGAGATATCGTCCTCATGGCTTGGTGGGCCAGGATATGCTCCACTCTCTCTCCCCACCCCCTTCATTTGCTCCCATGTGCTCTGATCAGACACATTCCTCTCCCTGAGCTTCAGCTTCAGTGCTGTCTGAAGTAAATTCTTCTGGGGGGAGGGGCAGTTGTACACGTAGTTGGGATTGGGGCCGGCCCCTCAGACCTCTCCACTGGTTCGAGGAGTAGGTTATTTTTATCTACCGGTATCGTTTATCCTAAAGCCAAAGGGGAAGAACATGCTAAGCATACATCTAAAACTGAAACATTCAAGAAAAAAACTCAAGCCTTGAATTGCAATTTTGAAAGATTCTATAGACAAAAATTTGAATAATCCAGGAAGCATCAGGAGAAGATGGAAAGAATACAGAGAGTCTCTTAGCAGAAAGAACAGATCATCATTTCAGTAGTTAGCTTAAGAGCAAGAATCAACAATGCTGAAGGAGGAATTTCAAGCTGTTACTAGCCAAAATCAAGGCTTCAGGAATTGACAGAATACTCATTGAAATATTTCAGAAAACTGAAGAAGTAGTGGAAACAATCTCGTATGTGACAGGAAATTGGAAGAGAGCCAACTGGCTGGACTAGATCCATATTTGTGCCCATTACAAAGAAAGGTGTTGACTCAACAGAATGCTCAAACTAAATAATGATATCATTGATATTGCATGAATTAAAATATTGCTCAAGAGCATTCAACAACAGTCACAGCAACTCATTGACAGGAAACTGCCAAAAATCCTGACAGGATTCAGACAAGGTCCTGGAACAAGAGCTATCATGGCTACTGTCAGATGGATCTTGGGTCAAAGCAAAGGATATCACAATGATATTTACTTGCGTTTCATTGAATATGCAGAGGCATTCTACTGTGTGGGCCACAATAAACTTTGGATAACCTTAGAAGAATGGAAATTCCAGAACACGTCATTGTGCCTCTAAGGAGGTTGTCCATGGATTAAGAGGTAATTGTGCAAGTAGAAAAGGGTATACTGCATGGCTTAAAATCAGGAATGGTGTACATCAGTGTTGTATCCTTTCACCATATTTGTTCAATCTGTTTGGGGAGCAAATCATCAGAGAGAGTGGAATATATGAAGAAGAGTGAGGTATTGGGATTGGAGGAAGACTTTTTAACATCCTGTGGTATGCAAATGATACATCCTTGCTTGCTGAAAGTGAGGAGGAATTGAAGCACTTGCTTATGAAGATGAAGGATTGCAGCCTTCAGTATGGACTACAACTCAATGTAAGGAGGACCAAAATCCTCCCAAGTGGCCCAATAGTTAACATCATGATGAATGGAGCCAAGGGTGGAAGTTTCCAAGGCATTTTGTCTTACTTGGATCAAGCTCATGGAAACAGCAGTCAGGAGATCAAAAGAGGTATTGCATTAGGTAAATCTGCTGCACAAAAACTCATTAGAGTATTAAATAGCAAAGATGTTTCTTTGAGAATTACGGTGCACCTGACCCACGCCACAGTATTCTTCATTGCCTCATATGCACGTAAAAGTTGGACATTGAATAAGGAGGACTATAGACAAATAAATGCATTTGAATTGTGGTGCTGGAGAAGACTCTTAAAAGTATCAAAGACTACTAAAAGGACAAACTGATTTGTATTAGAAATAAGGCCAGAGTGCTCCTTAGAGGAAAAGATGGCAAAACTTTGTGTTACATACTTTGGACATATTAGCAGGAGAGACCAGTCCCCGGAGAAGGACTTCATGCTTGGTAAACTGGAGGGGCAGCAAAGAGGAGGAAATAAATCCCTCCACGAGCTAGGTTGACATCGCGGCTGCATCCATGGGTTCATGCACAGGAACAAAGGTGAGGCTGGTGGTGCAGGACATTATCGTGTTTTGTTCTGTTTTACATTGGTTCGCTATTGGTCAGAGTTGACTGCATGACCCCTAACAACACAACAACAAAGCCAATCAGTTCAGGTTATTTCTTGTCTTAATGCATTATAAAATACCTTTGTTGAAAGACAATCCTTATGAATTGTTATTGAAGCCTGTCTACATCCTGGTATTTAAGGTCCCATATACTTCTTAAAGGATTATTTTTCATTGCAATCCAATGGCCAGAGTCTTGAACTCACCAGTCCCCTAACAAAGAAAGATGTGGCCGTCTACTTCTGTAAAGATTTATAGCCTTGGCAACCTGATGCGGCAAGTCAAGGATGTCTTATTGGGTCACTATGAGTCAGAATCTATTCAACGACAGTGACTGACCCAGAATGCACCTAAGAAGCAAGGATGGCGCACGTTTATCTTCCTTACTTTGGACATGTTATGAGGCTGGGTAAATAGAAGGTCCGTGAAAAAGAGGCAGGGACGCAGGCAGAGAGATGAAGTCACACAGCGGCTGCAACAGAGGATTCAAATCAAAGTTTCCTTCTGTGGTGCATTGGCTGGAACTGCCTTGATGGCCCTAACCATAGCAACAACACTGTTGTCTTTCATGTGTCAAATAGTTTCAGTAGCGTTATAAAAGGTTATTTAAAAAAACAATGTAATGCGTTAAAGATGGGTGACAGAAAACAAGTTACTACAGCATAATACTCAATTGATCACTATTTATATAAGCTGAAACATATTTCATGCTGAGACCATTGAAATTCTTAATTAATTTTACCACTACTGCACATGTTTTAAAATACAAACAAAAAAACCCGTAATCATCTTTTGATCATATTGGAAGATACCTCCCTTTCTATTTCTAAGGGGAAAATTTAAACAATTGTAAATCTTAGAGAAGTTAATTGAATTAAGAAATAATCCCTCAAGAAAAAATACAGGAGAAAATGAGATAATTTTAACTAAAAGGAAATTTGACAGTAAAAGTATATGCTATCTAGACTTCTCATTAATATGAAGAACACACTAAAGACTAAAGCAACTGTAATAGCCTGCTTCAAAACAACAATACCGCATCTGTAAATATTAAGTCAATAACCTTCTTCTGGAATACAAAATGTGCTTGGCACAGAAAATTAATATGACTTCTTACATGTAAATTACTGTATTTTAAACAAAAGCTATCTTCAAGAACCATTTTAATCTTTGATATATTTTACATATAGTACTTTCAAATTCATATTTCAGTGTTGACATATTTCAAATAAAGAAAATGGACTGTTGTAATCCTCTGTATGGTGTTTTCATTCAATTAGCTCTATCTTTCTTTTTCTTTGCAAACAAGATGGCAATTTACTCAAAGTCAACCCAAAAGAACATATATCAGCTGGAGTCGAACAAACACCGGGCTACTCAGGCTGCGCCTTTTAAAATCAAACAATTTAAAATAAAAGCAAACATGAACATAAATAGTGTTTCCCTTTGGAATATGACTGTTGACAGAAAAATGATAAAAACATAAAATGGTTTGAATTTGTAAGGAAGTTAAATAATTCAGGAAATGTTTTATTAACTGATAGCAGAGAACAGGATTTTGGTCTTTGCATTATGTAGTAATGAAATAATAAAATATATGCTTTGTGGCTTATTTTTTTAAAATAAAAACAGCTCTTCCTAACTGTATTAAAATTTCATAAGGTAGTTGAAAACCACATTCTTATCAAGCACGCACCAAAAAAAATGTTGTTTGAATAGGTTTCTTTTTTTGAGATGTTAGTTGCAACATTTTCAAAGGTTAAAAAAAAAGTTGTGTGGTAGTGTATAATCTTTAAAACGGGCATGTGGTTTATGTTTTCAACATGATTTAACAGACAGAGGAAGTATTGTCAAAACCACAAATAGATAATTTTTTTCCTTTAATATTTCTGACTTGGAATCATTGAACTTTGTGCTGCATAGAAATTATCTTACAACTCTTACAGAGAAGAATAGAATAGTTCCTCCTCTAAAACATTAATTGCCAAACCAGGGGTTTTCTTTTCATTTGTACAAGACATATGAAAATAGAAAGACGTTCTCATGAAAAATGGGATTTTGTATATCTTAACAAAAGTAATACCCTCCCCGCTCTGCATGGTTACACCTGCCACAACATGTGTGACTTTCGTGAAGAGGATAGAGAGAAAGGGTGCATGTCCTGAGGACCTCAGGTAGGCCTCCTGTAGCCTGTCCCTTCTGGGGGGGCACATAGGACCTGGGGGCGGGGGGTGGGGTGGGTGGGGAGTAATAATGTCTTAAAACAAAGCAAAAGTTTTAGAATATAAGTAATGAAAGTCTTAAAATAAGAGTAGAAAACCCCTTACAAAGTTTGACACCATCTTTCAAAATTGACACCGTGGCTACAACAAGGGACTCACATGTGGCCGTTTGAGGGACTCACAGATGGGGCAGGAGCAGTTCGGGTTTCTTTATTAGAAAAAAAATAGAGGGGACATGTTAGTGTCTACATTTGCTATGTTGACAAGGGAGTAAAGAAATGCATATGAAAGACTTGGAATCAAAGTGGTTGTTTTACTTGGTCACTTGTTTCTGACATCCTGCTTTCCCTACATCCTACTGAAGAGTGAATACTCATGAAGGAGTGCAATGCACACTCTCCAAAAAAAGGAAGGACAGATGAACAATAGGAGCTATTTAAACAACAATGCCAGCAAAATGTATGCCTTTCGTTCCGTGTTATGGGCATTTCAACTGGAAAATGTATCTGATTTGTCCACATTGCTATAGAACTTGATTCTTAAATTATGGTGTCATTGCTTGGATTAAAGAGCATACATGATCAAACATGTACCTTCACCAAGAAGGAGTGGTGTTGTGACTTGACAGCTTCTGTGGCATGTGGGACCTGTTGCAACTAATGTGCTCATCATATGTACAACATATCATCAGTATCAAGAAGCATTGATGATGTACAATATGATGAGTCTCTCTCTGGTAGTTCAAACTCAGCGTATGATAAAGAAATGTGAAACAATGCAAGCACACTGTTGTTAACATAGCATTATTTCTTATGTGAAATCATTTGAAATGAACCATATAGATTTAAAGCATAGAATCTTGAAGCATGATATCTGGCCTGACCATGAATAGTTTATAAAGGTTACAAGCAGAGACAACAGAGTGTTCAAAAGTAATCACTTAATTCAATTATTCTCTGGATCAAATATTATGCACGATGGTGATGAATGCAGTTACGATATCACAAAAATGTAGGAAAGTATGACAATGCATTGAAAGAGTATTGGTGCGGTGGTTTTCTAGGTAATCGATAATCAGCGAAGCTCATATTGCAACTAGAGATTCAACAGAAAAAGAAATCACTCCCTGGTCACAATAACGTCTGTGTTTTAGCCCAGTAGTGCAGACACGATTTCAGCCCATGTCATTGATAGTCCTCCTGTTTTCTCTGACCTTCGACTTTACCAAGGATAATATCCTTCTCAAAGGATTGGTCTCTACTGATAGCATGTGCAAAGCAATGAGACAATATCTTGCCCCCTTGTTTCTAAGAGGCATCCTGGCATTCCTACATCCAACACAGAATCACTCACTATTCCGGGCGGCCATGGTTCAGCCAGAAATCTTATCAAAATCATAGTTTAAATACATAAATTATTCTACAGTCTTCAAAGTGACATTTTTTTGCTTTTAAACACTTCAGAGATATCTTCTGTAGTGGATTTCCCCAATGCTATACGTTATTTGAGCCTACTGTGTCACTAGTGAATCCAATAAAAATGAACTCTTTGAAAATGTAATATCCCCCTTGTATGCTGATGTTGCTTATTGTACAGTTGTGACGAGCTTGGTTTCTTCATGTTGAGGCGGGATCCCTCCTGAGGGCTTTGGTTAGTGGTCCCTGCAAGTCCTCATCACTCCGAGTAAGCAAGGTTGTGTCATCAGCATATTGCAGAAGGTTAATTCACCTTTTCATGCTCCCGATGCCCATTTTTCTACATTTAGTTCAGATTCACAGATATTTGCTTAGCAGACAAATGAAGTAAATATCATAAACGGATACAACTCCCCCCAATTTTTTTTTCTTATTTGAAGCCACAAAATAAAATCTGGTAATGTGGAGAAAATTCATATTTAAGTCATCTTTATTTTTGTAAGTTATTTTATTATTTTTTCTTAAAAATTATTTTTAAGGTGATACTGTAAATTATTTATGCTCTATTATTTTTAAGGGGATGCTCTAAATTATGTTCCAGTATTTTTGTAAACAACATATCTTAAATGAACTTATTAATATGCAATTGTAGCAGAGATGTAATTAGCTCCTTTGCTATGGAAAAATATTTCCAGAATAAGATAGTTTTGTGTTCTAATTAGTAACAAAATCAAACTTATTCACATGCATACCTGTAAAGATAAATAAATGCAAAAAATCATTTTTATATGATGAGTTTTATTCAATTTATCACATACACAAATTATCCTGTCCTTGGCTGCATTAGCTGTGGCACATCTGTACCGCAGGTCAGGAAGCAAAATAGAGCAGGAGTGCGTCTGCTGGGTTTCATTTCATAGTGGTAGGCAGGCCTTCCTCTGAATGTCTTCTACTCATAACTTGTTGATACTGATTCAGGGTCTATTTATCATCACTCTAGATTAAAATTCTTGAAAATACATGTAGTATTACATATACTAGTGGTGTAATTTCACACAATATAATTCTAGATGAAAGAGCACAAGTCTAGACATTGTCTAGACATTGACCTAGAAATACCAGAAGTATTGATGGGGATGTTAATGAAACACTGACAAAGGTCAGAGATGCATGCTGATATTAAAGCGTGGCAATCTTTGCCAATACTGACAATCTGCCTACCACTGGGATAAATGCATTCATAAATATATTATTTTAAATTTCTTCAACAGAACTATAAAGATCCACCCCCACACACACCCACCCCCGTAATGTCTAAGATCTGGAATGTAAGGCAAAGAATACTTAGTAAGTTGCTTTAGGGAACTCAGAGATTTGACTGAGTGATATGGGTTTAAAACACAATTAGCACTTTTAACATCATAATTTGTAGGCTATCATGAAATATAATCCTAGCACGCATACTTGGTCAACATTGTACATGAGGGGAGCTGGCATATCTAAGTTAAAACAAAATTAATGAAACATACAAACAAAGCCAGCCATCAAAACTGGAAAAATTGACAAATGTTTTATACAATTCACTCTGATAGAGTTGATATCAACTCATTTTCCAATTTCTCAGTGTAGCTTCAAATGCAGTCTACAATATATAAAAGTGATGTTAGAAGTGTACAATGCCAATAATACAAAAACAATCATGAATCTATGCCTTATTTTTGGCCCCAGATTTTTATCATGAAGTTCAGAAATTGAATCTACAATCCTTAGAATAATGTGTTCCGACAATCATTTATCTTTCTAGTTAATAAGCAAGGTGCTAAGGATTGTAGTATTTGGAAAGATATACAGTAGAAGTGATTGCTTAATGACAACTTTAAAATGATAAATTTCTTGCCTAATTAAAAGAGTGATAATTAATACTATCCATCTTAAATGCTTCTGGATCACATACTCCTTTTGAGTTACAAATCAAAACCAGGAATGTCCTATAGTGTTTCATGATTTATTAAACCAAGTCTTACCTAAAACTTAAAGAGTAATTTGGCATTGTGTAAAGCCTTGGTAAAGCAGAAAGTCATCCAAAAAGAGGAAGACACGCGATGAGACAAGTTGACAGAGCATTTGCAACAGGCTCAACCCAAAGAACACTTTTGAGATTGGCAAAGGACCAGAGCATTTTGTTCTGGTGGACATTGAGACCGCGATGAGTCGCAACTAACGCTGTTGGACCTACCTCTTGGAAAACACTGCCGAAACGGCGTTAGACTAATGGAACATCATTGGGACTCATGAGTTTGATTTAAAAAAATTAATACAAAAATATTCTTATAAAGTGTCATAATTGAATACAAATTGAAAGCAATTTAAAATAATAAACACTTATTTTAAATAGGTTGCATTTTGATATAAACCTTATAGTTATTTACTCCTTTAATAAAATAACAACTTTAAGTTGTAAAGCCTTTTATTATCCTGTTTCCGCATGAGAAAACCCAGCCACACCATAGCTGTATACCTTTCCATGGTCATCAAACTAAGAGATGGTATAGCTAGATTATGAAAGCAGCCACTCCAGCTTTGAAGTCTCTGAATGTACCTACTGTATAATTAAATTAAATAAAGCAATCTATTACATAAGGGAAAATGGTACCTTTAATACCACCATTATATAGCCTTAAGAATAGATGCACATTTTTAATGTTGCTCTTGTTAGTTGCCATTGAATCAAATCCATCGCATGATGATCTCCTTGTAACAGAACAAGCTCCACCCAGATCTGCTACATGCTTGCATATTTGTGTCCACGATTGTGGCTGTTGTGCATAACTTAAAGAGGCTCTTTTGTAAACATTCCAGCTATTCAAAAGAGAAATCCTGCATCTTAGTGCTCTCTAGGATATTGGAACTAGTAATGTCTACCTTCCTGTGTACTTTGGACACGTTGTCGGGAGGGACCATTGCTTGAAGGATATCAAGTTAGATAGACCACAGGGTCAGTGAAATGGAGAGTCATTTGCTTTCTTTAAGGTCAACTGATTTAATTGACTGTCATTACTCCCCAATAACATCTAGACTCGTGTTCAAACACCTGGTCAGCTAGCTTTACAAGCTGAGACATAAACTAACTGTCATAAGAGGTATTACATCAGCAAACAGATCTTCACCTGTATGAATACTGCTATTGACCACTTAATGTATTCTTTCTAAGGGGTGAAAATTAGCACTATGTTTTTCATCTCTTAGAGTTTTCATATGGAAGAGAATCCATATTGTTTAAAAAATAAAATAGATTGATACATTGGATCTGTATCATTGCATATTTTAAACTTACGTTTTTACGTTCCATCCCTTCATCTAGGTAAGTTCTTAACACTTTCATATATGGCTATTTCTTATCAATATAATTTATAAAATGTCAACCTAATACATTTATGTAGTACATTAATTAAGTTGCCAATATTATCTTCCTCCAACACATGCATTAAAATACTAATATCATCATTGATAATAAAACTTACTGTTAAAATAATGTTTCTGTGAAAAAGAACGTTGAATCTACATTCATGTGGATGATCTT